TGAAATCCTACTTTTTTTTCCTATCAGGAAGGGTGCATGCACATGTGTGTGTGTGTGTATAAAACATACAGTAGGTAAATATATTGAAGGGCTCTGGTAATTTCATGGTAACCACAAGAGCAAAGCTCAAGTTGTTTGTGATGTTAACAGAAACCAGAGATGTGCTGTATGTATAGCCTCTTTCACAGTCTCTGAATTGCCTTTTATATAGTTCATGGATCACACAAGAGTTTAAGAGGAAAAATATTTTCTTTAAATTCATGTACATAATGTCCCTTTTCCTTCCGACATACCAGAAGAAGGTCTGATAATTTTGACTTATTGTAAAACATTACTGTATATATTTTTAACACAGGAACACCTCCTGCACCTAACTTTCACTACACGATATTTATGTTGTAAATCCTTGCTAAGAAATTAAAATTTAATATCAAAATTGAAGTTACTCAACCAACTAAAATTAAAAGAAAATTGATATGACTGATACATTCTGTTGAAAAGCATAACTGTTTCACAAGAGAAGATGTAAAGCTTTCCTAGTGTTTTGTGGCATTTCTTAGTAAAGGTTACTAATCTGGATTCCTTCCCCTAAGGAAGAAATCTAGGGCAACCCTTAGAAAGTTTTAGGAATGAATAGCTTGTTCACATATTTCTTTAACAAGACTTTGGTAAGTTTTAGGATTTGCAGTTAAATTCTGTTCTCATTTACACCTGTGCAACCTCACTGAAGTTAAATTGAAAGAGATTTGTCTAGGATAAAAATATCAGGAAAACTAGTGGTACTAAACTTGGCTTACTGCAAACCAAACTACTAGAAATATGGAAGGAAAGAGGGATGTTGTGATACCTCCAGACCACATAGGTTATTGGGCACTTTCAAACTGAACCTCCGAATCTTTTGAAGTCTTCCCATCATGACTGTATCAAAGGCAAACTCATGCATGTTCCTATTTAAACAGATTCTTGGGGAAAATTTTTCCCATAATTTATGCAGCTTGGGTGACCGCAGCATTTGACATAGTGTTTCTTAGAAAGAAATCTTAGTTAGTCAGATAAAAGAGACTTTGTCACATGTGACTTAGCTTTGGAGATTATGAACTCCTTCAGAATTAGCTCCTGTATTAGACGCTGCACAGATGACCTAGTCTCTCCCTGGGCAAATTAATCCTGTTGTGAAGGTTCTGAGACTAACCATTTGCCCTTGAAATATCTCCAAAAAGAATGGAGTTCTGTGTGCACGTGTATCCTGGTTTTGCTGGGATAGAATCATAGAATCAATCCTCTCTTCAAGAAAGCTGCTTTTCTGAGATGATTACAGTGTTCAATTTAGTGAAAACAAGTTGGTAAGACCCTGTGTTTTATTTTTAGCTGGAATAGAGTTAATTTTCTTCATATTAGCTAATATTAGACTTTATTTTGGATTCATGTTGAGAATAATGTGACAACACATAAAAATTTTGGTTATTTCCAAGCAATGCTTACATTAAGTCAAGAACTGACTGATTTTCAGTTTTTGCCTGCATCTGTCCTTCCAGCTTCTTCTTTACAAGAAGTTAGGAGAAGACACAGACAGGACAGACGACCCAAGCTGGCCAACAGAGAATATTCTCTGCCATATATGTCACATACTATAAATTGGGGAGCTTCCTGGAGATGGCCCTCTTTGCTTGGTGGTTATTGTCCCTGGAGAGTCTTGCCCATAATTTGATTCCTGAGGCTTATCCCTCCTCCTTTGCTGACCATTGCATTTTCACTGGTGCATGGCTGGACACTGCTGTGTGAGCTGAGTACAACTTAAATTGTTTTTTTACAGTTGTTCCTATTTTTATTACAATTCATTAGTGTTACCATTATAATCATTTTAGTTTGGTATATTTAAGTCATAAAACTCTTCCTATCTCAGCCATGAGTGTTCCTACCTCTCTCCTCCAACTCTTTCCTCCACCCCAATGTGGAGCTGGGGAAGTGAATGAGTAGCTGTGTGGTGTTTAGCTGCTTGCCGGCTTATACCATGCAAATGTGTTTGAAAAATGTATTTTTTTCTGGATTTTTTTTTTAGCAATATCAGTTCCCTGTTTTAATTCTGTAAGGAGTTGTACCAGAAAAACAAACTGAAATGGAACACCATGGAAATAAGAATCACTGACTCGTTTCATAGAAAGCAAAGGAAAGAAAAACTCAAGAGTAACTTAATCTGTCACTGCTGCTGCAGGTTACATTTATGTAACCATGAAATACAATAAAGTACAATTGAAATTTTCTAGTGTTCCTGAACAAAACCAACCAACCAAAAGACAATGATTTCTGTATGGGTGTATGGGTTTCTGATTTTTCTAGTTCATGACTGAGACAGAATGTGTGCAGCTTGGGCTTTCAAGCAAAGTGGAGATATTCTCTGAATCTTACAGACTTTCAGCTGCTACTTTGCTACTCTCCTCTTTACTCTAATCATATGCTATGTGGCTCCAAACATTAAGTCTGAGAAGGCAGTAAGCCTTGTGAGTCTTAGTGGATGACTTCCCAGTTGCTGTACACTAACCTACAACACTTTCCAGCTCTTTCAGGGTTCCTTGTTTCCTTTTTGTCATATTCTGCAAATTTATACTAGGATCTGACAAACCTTCCAGGCAATAGGACACTCAGGAATCCCTGAATCTTTTTGAGAATGTTCTGTGTGGTTGAATACAAGAAACTTTCATAAGTTTGGTAAGTTTGATGTTTGAGAGTTTTCTAAAAACTGCTGAAGAGAGGAGGGAAGGATGGGAACTGGAAAGTTCTAAAACTCTCACTAGAGTCTCTTTCCTCCTGTAGATTTCAGGAGGCCCACAAGAAGGAGGAAAAATAATTGATATCCTTCCCCAGGCACTTTATTCACTCCACTGCCTCTCAGTAGACTACCTAAGATATGCAGGAGCAGATGTCTGAAGTGCGCCCAACTAGCTGTGCATATGTGTGTGTGTGTGGAAAGGCAAGCTGCATTCATGTGGGTGGATGTGGAAGTGAGTGTATGTCTGTACATATGCATGTCTGTGTGAACAAGGAGTTGGGCAGACCAAGAGTCTGGGGAGATGTGTCGCTACTGTGGTTTTTCTCCAGTCTTCTGCAGGAAACCAAAACGGAGCATTTGCTGGTTCTTTTTTTGCTGATGGAATTGCCAAATTAGTTTGCCAGCTCCTGATGACCCCTGCTAATACAACTGTTCAAAATATTAACTTTCAAAATAAGACTCTGTCTCATCCTTGCTATCTGCAGTAGATCTCAGCTGGATGAGTTCAGTGAACCATAATTTATCTCTTTAGCTTGTTAGTGGTTTGTTGGGTATGTGTTGTTGCAAAGTAATCGGACAATGGGAAAAAAACAACTCAGAATTAGAAACATGTTTTCATTCTGTGAGCGTGTATGTGTGTGTCTGTCATAATTCATTACTTCCCCTGACCTGTACTTTGGCAGAAAAAGATCACTCAGCTAGAGAGATAGCCTACATATCTTAAAGCTAAAATTCCTTTGTCTATGGATTTGGAATGTGAAGGCAAAATTAAGTTTGAAGTGGGAATTCACTTTACAGTGCTAACTGAAGAGTAATTGCAATTACTCTGATGTCTAGCAGAGAACAAAGACATGTGGGCTCAATCCCAGTGCATCAGAGCAATGTTATACTGAGCAGACAACAGATTTTTAGAATTAAGACAAATATAGCTAAGTAAAACAAAAAGAAAAGGACATTAACATAGTAACTGGCTCAGAAGCTCTGTACTGTGAAGGAGGGCTACAAATGTCTTGTATCATGATATTTGTACATTAAAAAAACATTCAGTAAAGAGATATAAATAAAAGTGGAAAAGAAATATAAAGCTGTATATTGTATAACAGTGAGTGCAAGTAAGAAATGACGGCAGAAGATAGAATATGTCAGAAATTATATCTATATGGTACTGATAGAGAGATCTACAGAGAGCTTAAAAAGACAGGACAGCTGTTGAGTGTGAAGTTTGATTAAAGCGAAGTGAATAAAGGAGTAATGAAAGAATGTACAGTCTGAGATAATGACAGGAGCTGACTTGTGCTAGACCTTGAAAATCTTTCTGTCTGTTCATCTAGTAATAAAAAAGTGAAAAATACCTATCCATAAATAGCATCTATACATAGACGATAGGAGAACGCCTGAGATGCAAAATGAAACTTTAAGTGACTGCCAAGTATAGAAGGCATTACATATCAAAGCCTGAATACGTGGTTACTCCAGATCTTCAGCAGACTTTGCTGGTAACCACAAAGTTTTTCTCCTAGTCTGTCATGCAATGTTTTCCAGGGATGCACAGTGCAGCCAGTTAAGACTGAGAGCTGAAACAGAAATGCCCTGAAGTATAATTTCATATAAAAACATCATGAAAAGAATTTTTATCTTAAAACCATCTTTGAAACAACTTTAGGAAAAACTCTTGGATGTATTATCAATTATGCCTCTATTTTATGGATTCGTTTTAAAGTAATTATGCAAGGCTTCTCAATACTTAACTTTGCAAATAGCTGTTGGGCTTTGCTGTCTTAGAAATTCTGACTTGTTTTGTTCACCCTTTTATACCATTTCATACCATCACACTAAGAAAGAATTCTGATGACGAAAAGATTTTATGTTGAAAACAGCTATGATATTGTGCACTCTTTTGACACCTTTCCTTTGAAGTCTTCCACTAATTTTACTGACTGGCTGGGCTGATGGCATCTTGAAGTTCAATGTTAAACATTCAGGATAGAACCACAGAGCAAATGGATGACAGAGCAAGGGATATGATTCAGCAGACCTTTCCCTTAAGTGAATGATCCAGTATTTTGACTCATGTAATGTCTTAATGGTATTTTCTAATATGAGTGCAGAGTGAAGTATTTGTTTGTTTTGAAGGAGCACTAATAATGGATGTGTGAAGTTAAGCAAACCAAGCACTGCAGAAAACAAAAGATGAACTACTTAAATTTAATCTTATTCATTTTATATGTTCCAGATTCAGAACAATCTGTGGGCAGGGAATGCAGCTAGCGGTTCTGTGGTTACTTCCTGCATGCTGCCACGAGACACGTCCTCCTGTATGACACCTTATTCCCATTCGCCCCGGACAGATTCTGGCTACACAGGCTTTTCAAACCACCAGAATCAGTTCAGTCATGTTCCTCTCAATAATTTTTTCACTGACTCTTTACTTTCTGGGGCAACCAATGGACATGCTTTCGAAACCAAGCCGGAGTTTGAAAGGAGGTCCTCCAGCATTGCAGTTCTACGGATGAAAGCCAAAGAGCATGCTGCCAATATTTCCTGGGCTATGTAATATAGCAGTATCCTCTCTTATTTTCCTTTTTTTTGTTTGTTTTTAATAGCAAACGGAAAACATTTTTATTTCCCATATTTAAAGGACACAACAATAAGCTGCCATGTGTGAAATGCTAGAAATCACAATATACACAATGTCTGCTTAAACAAATGCAATAAAATATTCAACAAAAAAACAAGAATAAACCAAATAGATTTACCATGCATCAAGCTCAGCAAGCCCTCTTTGTTTTGTTTTTTATATAGAATTATGTTTTGTTGTACCAGTTCATGAAATATGATTATAGAACCTGCAAAAAACAATAAAACTATTAAACAAATATGTCTATTCCATTGGTTTTTAGCAGTCCTATATATAAAATTAATGATTTACAAATGAGTGAACAACTCACTAAAGGAAAATTATGATACTAAAACCATGAAGTAAGTCTCTAAGCACACCACTCAGCGAAGGAAATATACAAACATTCATGTTGTATGTGGAATTAGTAAAACTCCCTCCCAGCACTGTGCTGCTTCTCTGAGTAAGCTCTGCTGTTTTGCTAAGTACGTGTCGAACTTGTTGGAGTTATATCAATGCACAACAAATGTAATAAGAGTAGAAGGTACTCCTCTATTTTATGGACTTGAGTGTATTCCTATTAAAGATAATGATTTTTTTTCCCCCCAGACCTATAACTAAAAGCTGGATCACAGTGTTTAACAGTTTTCAAAGACATGCATAGATTATGTATGTCAACTAGTGTTTATATGAAATCTTTTAAGGTTGCAGATAGGGTATCCTGAAAGTTAGGTGACTAAAGAAAGCATACTGTGGCACTTTAAACAGAATCCAGATTTATTAAAAAACACACAACAGCAGTCTTACTTCCAATCTCATCAGTCTTAATAACTGTTTTTTGTTATGCTATGATCAAATTGAAAAGGAAAAAAATGCAACAAGGCTTACTAGTTTCAGTCTGTAACTGATCTCAGGATGTTATAAGATTATATTTCATCTAGTTTTAGTTACATTTTGTTGATGCTTCACCCCCCCCCCACCTCGTGTAAGGTTTGCTCCCTTTAAAGTTGATAGGAAAAATCTTTTTGACTGCAGTGGCAGCAAGATTTGGCTCTCAGCTCCCAGCCTATCACAAAGGAATTAAAATGTCAGCAGACTTTCTGACATTTCTGGTGGAAAAAAAAAATAGAGAAGAAAAATACTTTACATCTGGAGAATTGCTATCTGCTTTGATTTACTTCTCCTCCCTTTCCCCTGTCACATTCCAAGCTCCTTCAGATGAGTGAGATGTCAGCCTCTTTGAAAGCAACAGTCAGACTCTCAGGTTCATAAAGGCAAAGTAAATTAATTGAAATAAAGAAGGACTTGCATGGCTGTGATTAGAACAGGATACAACTCTCTGGACACCCCCTGCTCCTTGCTTTTCTCTCTGGCTATTTGTTAGGAGCAGAGGGTGAATGGGGTGAGAAGGGAAGATCGGGAAAGCACATTTCAACACAGCAAAGCTACCAGTACTCACACAAACTCACAAGAACCCCCAAATTGTCTCTGCTCTGACTTGTGAGGCTAAACTTGAAAACAAAAATAGAAGATGGGTCCATTCTGTAATCTTTCAGTGGAATAAACTTTGAAACTGCAAGGATCAGTTGAAAATGGTAATTTTTACAACAAATTCTTAGACAGATGATCGAACGGTTGTCCCATTCAGCACTAGTAGTAAACTCAAAGTTTACCACATACGTATACTCCAATTCCTAATTTTATTCTCCTTCTGAAAATTAACTTCAACTTTGGCCTGAAGAACTAAGAAAGAGCATTCTGGCTAGAATTTATCTTTTCCTTTTTTATGGTCTGTTTAGACAGCAGTAAAATGAGCCTTTTGATTTAAAGCAAAAAAGAATTTTATTAGTTCAGGTAAAGACACTAGTTTTATATAGATGTTTGTGCCACATGCAGAAGGATGAAAGTGGTGGAAATACACTTTATTTTTAGCAGATCAAACTGTTTTCAGTTCTAAAATGTGTTTTCAATTTTTTTTTTTCCAGTTTCAATAAAATAATTTTTTAAGGTGTAGCATATAGAATATGTCAAATTGCTTTCCAGATAATTTTAATTATAGCATCATTAGTGGATAAAGAAGCAAAAGCTTAGATTGCAAACTTCAATCCATTTTTATAGTTTCCTTCAGTTCAATTATTTATTTTGATAGCAGAATTTGCTATTATTGTGTTGTGAAATCCAGAAAAAAGCTTCATTTTCACAAGGTTTTTTAAGTCAAGAGTAAAATTAAACAATTTCCAGGTATTTCAGTGACACAATGCTTGTAGAGAAAAAAACATCAATTTTCAAAACATCACAACATTTTTTAGATGCTTGAAGGCTAGAAGAGGAAAATAGACTATGTCATCCCTGTGTTGATTTTAATTAAGTGAAAGGGGTGCAATTCTAATTAAATCTAATTAATCATAATTTTTAGCAATATAAATTATTTGTTACATGTTGCTAGCATAACTTTATGTATTAGACAAACAGGTATTCAACTCTTCGGTTAGACCTGAGGTGTGATAAGTTGCAGGCCTGCATTAAGCTTGTCATGCTCTTGCATCAGCCTTGTCTCAAAGAGTGAATGATAGCCTGTTGGTCTCAGCGTTTCATTTAGCTAATGAAAAAGTATCTTCGTGTTAAACGTCAAGTACTACAACAGGGTCACATTCTGCCACTTTTATGTAGTAGTGCTTTACTCCGTGAGTAGGCACATTGATTTGAGTGAGACTACTCACATAGGCCAAATTGTGAATCACTTGTAAATGTTTATTCACAATGGCCCCATTCATGCAAAGGGCGACGCAGCACAACATGAGTAATTGGTTCATAATCAGGCCCAGCTTAAAGTACTATTCAGCTCTGGTAAGGATGGCAGAATCTGGCCCATGCTGGCTTAAGGCCAGACTCAGATTTTTTAACCAAGATGAGTAGCTCCTTATTCCACAAATAGTGCAAATAGAGCCAACAGGGCTATTCGTAGAGTTCTCTTTTTACAAGAAAACTCTAGAAAAGAGGCATTTCAGTATATGCAAATAATTTGAGTAAGTTTCTATTCAAGTAAATGATTTTACTTTCCACTGGAAAATACTCCTACATCTGACAGGACTTGTGTTTTTCTGCTTTGATTTTATCCGCTTAATGATTTCTTAGCATGAGCAACTAATCTTTTCGCTGCTTCTTCAACATGTGGCAAATTCACTAAAAACAAAAGGAGGTGATTTACATAGCCTTCCTGTCAAGTACTGTAACTAATGTTTGAGATATGTGATCATCATGTAATGCTGAGAAGTAAATTTATAGAACTTCTGGGCAAAGAGTCCCTACCCTGTTAAAAGAGAAAGTAAAATATTGTTGCAATTATTGCTGTGAAGAATTTGTGATGACAACACTTTGCTGCTTTTTCTCCTCTGATTTTTCTCCTACGATCAACACTTTGAAAAAGTTAAGCCTGTATTTGAAGTATTTTTTGAACAGATGTAAATTTATCCATGAAAATGAAAAGTCCTCTTTAAAAAGTTGTGCAGACTCACATGAGTGATAGACAACACTGCATTTAGCAGCTAAAGACCCAGTCTCCTTACTGTTAAGATGTTCAGAAAATTTTAACACAACTGATTTCTACCTATAGTTTGATCAACAGTGTTACATACCACGAGAACATATCGATGAAGTCATCTTTTGTTGCTAAGAATAAGCTGAAATTAACTATATTTCTCACTTAACTTCTTTACTGTCATAATATTTTACACTGTCATGTGTTGAAAAAGTCCACTTCAATATGTTAAAAGCATTTTATTTTGGCTATGATGTTTATGGTAAAGCCCTGAAGTATATAATTTAGAAAATACGACTCATACTGTGCATTTAATACTGTTACATTAGCATGATAGAAGTAAATTATTTTGTCTGTAAATAATAAAATATTAAAATGTTTTCAAAACTACATAGATAAATATTTTATTGATTAAATTAATTAGATTTATTATTAATCAGAGTTAAATCAGGCTGATCAGAACACATTTAAAACACTTATGCTGCTAAAAGTCAAAATGTTTCCAGAGGAAAATCTTTGTATGACAAGGCACTGATTTTTCCCCCTAGTACTTTCATACCAAATTAAAAAGTGTCCTACTCATTTCCAGAATGCACCCTTCTTATCCCTCTACAGTGATCTTTTTAGATTTGGTTGGCATCACAATGAGAGTAAGACATTGTTCGTTATCCAGGCCTCGGTACTCATTTATTTTATACCACTTTTGAGTAGTTCGAAACAGCGGAAGAATATATCTAGTTCAAGTAGGTTTACAGTTACTTTGTATTGCCAATGCAACATAAAACATCTGTGGTACACTGATGAATTATCATATGAAATATTGGTACTATAAGCAAACTCATCAAGACTGTAAAGCTGTGGTAATTGAAGGAACCTATTTTAGATTTAAATGGTGTAAAATAAGCAGCAGGCTGGGAAGGCACTGAATGTGAGGTGCAGGTATGATAGAAAGAGTACACAGTGAGTATGGGGTTACGGTGCCTGGGAATGGCAGAATAATATACTGGGAAGAAAGTCAGAGTGCAGTGATAGGGTGAAGAGGAAACCTAAACCTAAGGTGTTGTTGCCTTCTCTCTTGCCTAAATATGCCACTTAAATCTCACCAGGACCTGTGACCATAGGAATTATTTTATTGCTGCCTCTCTTATCTCTACTTGTAAGAACTCTACAGGTTTAAGGAGGGATATAAAGAAATTAAAAAGTAAGTCCTGAAAGGGCAGGGCTGGTAGATGTACAACAATCACTGTCAATAAAAACATATTGGGAAATTAAAGAGTAATTTTGGGAAGAAACATCCAGTCTCTACATTATCTTAATAATGAATTTTAAGTTATCTTTCCCTGGATAGTTTAAGGCAGCATGGGGACAGAATGTTAAAGCATAGTGACATTCAGATCAGTGAGTTTATAAAATTCCTGGAGCATGGCCATTTTTCATTATACTACAAAGTTATTAAACCTGATACAGTTATGGTCTGCAAATGAAGGAACATATTACAATGCTCTCACATAAGATGTATTTGTTATTGACCTCTTTCTGTCAGTTATTTTTACTTTATTTAAATAAAAACATAAAAATTACATAGTTCTTAACCAAATCTCTTTGTTTAAATGCAGTACACACATGAGATGTCATTGATTTTCAATATACCAAAAAAACCTCCACCCTTCACGATGAGTCATCCAAATTCATTATTCTTCTCAAAGAATAAGGGCTGTTGT